GAAACCCCCCGCCACCGCCACTTTTCCTGCCTCTTTTAGATCCGAAACAGACCTTTTCACCATTTCAGATATGAAATAGATCTAGATATCGCCGTCTTTGCTCTTCTTTGACCTCGTCAATGATCTCCCTTGGCCTCCGTCATCGTCGCCTTCCCTCATCGCCCCCTCCTCCCTTGCCTTCGTCGTCGCCTTCCCTCATCGCCTCCTAATACCTTGCCTTCGTCGTCGCCACCCTCTTTTGAGCTATTGTTTCATATTTGAAACATATCCAAAACTGTTTCAAATCTAAAACAGAGCTATAAACCCTAGGTTACAAAAAAAATTATTATTATTATTTTTATATTTATATACATATAACCTTTGGGTTAAATAATACACCTTCGGGTTTCATCTTAATATTCGGGTTCTTGAACTTTAACCTTCGGGTTACATGTTAACCTTCGGGTTCTTACACTTTAACCTTCGGGTTCAAAATTAAACCTTCGGGTTCTTGCACTTATAACCTTCGGGTTCAAAATTAAACCTTCGGGTTCTTAGACTTGTTCAGCCTACTGGCTAATTCAAGAGTTATTATCTTAAACTTGGACATACTTTGATTGTTTCTATTTTGAGTACAATTTGTGGAGGGTATCGTCTTGAGCTCTACTCGTCTGTTTCATGATGGCCGGATCTGAGGAACTCAAGAATTCTAAGTTAACGGTCCAGACAAAAGTTTCGAAAATATTTTCTAGTAGAATCACTGATCGGAAGCTTAGCTTAATGGAATTAACTATTTCCAGTGAAAGCGTGTTATTGAAATCTATGTGGCAGGCCGAGGCAAAACTGATCATTTATTGACGGACCCTCCTACTCCTACACCAGAATCTTGGATATTAGATGGTAGTATCCTCTTACATCAAATTCTTAATACTATAGAGCTTAAAATTCACGATTTAGTTCTTCATTGTGTGACAGTGAAGTAACTTTGGTGTTTTTTGCAAGATCTCTATGGGAATAGCAACAATATTAATTGAGCATATGAAGTAATTCAAGAGTTGTTTCGTAAAAAACAGGATGGTAAACTCATGGATGGTCATTATGGTGAGTTCAATCGTCTGGCTGAGGAACTTCGTCAGATTTTTCCTATTACTGGGGATGTAAAACAAATGCAGAACCAATGGAACAAACTTATGGTACTCACCTACTTGTGTACCATAGATTCCATTTACTCCTCGTCTCGACCACAAATCATGGGGAGCTCTGCCATTAGTTTTCTGACTGAGACTTATCACTTTTTGAAGAACGTTGTCCCGACACAGCCATTTACATCCACTGCGGATCGCTCTGCGCTTGCTACTTAGAGTTGGCAGTCTTATGGGCAAGGGTGTCATACTGGTGATCCTGGAAGAGGTGGAGGCAACTTTAAAGCGAGAGGAGGTAACCACACTGGTCGTTCTGGTGGCCGAGGTAGTCAACGAGGTGGCCGTGAAAGTCCATCTCAAGGCAGACATGCTCATGACGATGACTCAGTAAAGACTTGTAACTACTGTCACCAGCTAGGACATCTCAAATATAATTGTCCTGAGTTAGAAAAGAAGTAGGCCAAGGGTGCTTACATGATCGCTCAGGACAACTTCACCTCATCTAATAATAATAGTCAACCACAGTCACTCTTCCATGATGCGGAGCTGCAGCGTCAATTTCAGCAATTTTAATTATTTCAGCAGTACCAGAGTTCACAAACATCGTCTTTCTCCTTATCCACTACTCTAAAAAATGCAGGTGCTCCTTTATCTTTACTTACATCATCTTCGTCTCATACTTGGATTATAGATATAGGTGTCACTGATCATATGACTGGGAATCAAGGTATCTTGTCATCTTTCTCTCCTACATCTAATTCAGTTATATTAGTTGATGGTTCACGTACACCTGTTCAGGGTGTCGGCAACACCAATCCTACCCCAAGTCTTCATCTTTCCTCCGTATTCTATCTTCATTTTTCTATAACCTTTTATCTGTTAGTAAGATTACTAAATCTCTAAACTGTACAGTGACATTCTTCTCCACACATTATGTCTTTCAGGACCTGGTCACGAGGAAAACGATTGGGACGGGACATGAGCAGAACGGCCTTTATAAACTAAAACTGGGCTCCAAACATTTGGCTTGTATCGAAAACTTATCAGCCCTACAATATCACTGTCAGCTAGGACATCCCTCTTTATCTGTTCTCAAGCTTCTTAATCCCCAGTTCAAATTTCTTTCCTCATTAGAGTGTGAGTCGTGTCAACTTAGCAAATACCATCGTGTGTCTTATCCTAACCGAGTCAATAAGAGGACTGCTAAGCTATTTGATCTTGTTTATTCTAATGTCTGTGGGCCATGCCCAATAACTTCTAAATTGGGATTTTGATACTTTATCAGTTTTGTGGATGATCACTCTCGTGTTACTTGGATTTATCTTCTCAAGACTAGGTCTGAAGTCTTTTCTACATTCAAATTCTTTTATTCTGAAATAGTCAATCAATTCAAGACTTCGATAAAAATTTTCCGATCTAATAATGCAAAGGAATACTTGGATGGCAACTTCACTAGTTTCCTTGAACAATATGGAATCCTCCATCAGCCTTCTTGTGTTTACACTCGGCAAAATAGAGTTGCTGAACAAAAGAATAGACATCTCATTGATATTGCTCGGACCTTGCTATTCCATCGTCGTGTTCCCAAAGAATTTTGGGGAAAAGCTATCTTAACAGCATGTTACTTGATTAATCGAATGTCCTCTTCTGTTCCGCAAGATAAAATTCCTTTCAAAATTCTATACACCATCGATGATCTCTTTCCGCTTCCTCCAAAGATTTTTGGGTCTCTGTGCTCTGTTCATAATCACAGTCCAAATAAACAAAAGTTTTGACTCGATGTATTAAAGGCATTTTTCTTGACTACTCCTGAAAGCATAAATGTTACAAGTGTTTATGTCTGTCACTCAATCGTCTTGTGTTATCTGCTTATGTAACATTCTTTGAAGATAAACCCGATCATTCTAGTTCTCTATTTCCATTATCACCGGATGAGTATGATTATTTGATCCTGCAAGAGTCATTGATTAACGGTAGTGGTTCATTCGCTGACAATACTATTTGTGCTATTGGTAAAGACTCAGTTCGGTTTAACGACCCAATTCAAGTTTATCATCGTCGCTCTGCTTCTGCTCTAGTGCCAACGTCGGCCTCAACACCACGTCCTCCGCCTAAAGAGCCTAAATCAGTAAGTGCAAATTTACCCCCTTCTGCGGAAGACCTTCCTATTGCACTTCAAAAAGAGACACGAACTTGTACTCAACATCCTATTTCTAACTTTGTCTCCTATGATCACCTCTCCTCTACCTTTCGATCTTTTGTTACTTCCCTCGACTCATATTTGGTTCCTAAGAATGTGTCAGAAGCCCTGTCTATCCAAGGTTGGAACCAAGCGATGCAAGACGAAATGAGGGCCTTGCGACAGAATGAGACTTGAGATTTGATCCCACTTCCACCAGTAAAGCGGCCCATCAGTTGCAAGTGGGTGTACACTATCAAGTTGAATCCGTATGAAACTTTAGTACGCCTGAAACTGGTTGCTAAAGGCTATTCACAGGTGTATGGCTTGGATTACATAGATACCTTCTCTCCGGTGACAAAAATAACATCTGTTCGGATTTTTGTTTCGTTAGCAGTGACATACCACTGGTCATTTCATTCGTTGGACATCAAGAATGCATTCCTTAATGATATTCTAGATGAGGAGGTTTACATAGAGCAACCACCAGGTTTTGTCGTTCAGGGGAGAATACGAAAATGCGAAAGTGTGTAGGCTGAAAAATCACTCTATGGTCTAAAACAGTCTCCGAGAGCCTGGTTTAGACGTTTTGCATCAGTTATTCAGGAATTTGGGCTTTATCGTGCACAGAAAGATCATCTCGTCTTCTAGCGACTTCAGAATGGAAAACGAATTCTGCTCGTTGCCTATGTGGATGACATTGTAATTACAGGGGAAGATGCTTCTGGTATTGACAGCCT